TGTACAGTGCTCCTATCCTCTTTTGTTACTTGAAAGATCATTGATATATTCCCCTTGATGAATAGCTATTCGGCTCAGTATTTACCCGTGGAATTCAGCCACCTTTTCCACGGAACCTTCTACCCAAAAAAATAAAAATGGTAGCAATGGAAACTGCGTGCGCGGGAAAAAGTCTCAAAAACCTGCAGCCTCAGCCAGGCGAGGCCTAGACACCGGGACCACTTGAGGTGCGCAAATTCATCTATATCTCCCTTCTTTGTAACAGTCGAGGCCGACTTGATCCAATCCACCATCTCCGTATCGGGTGCTGTTTACGCTCCGTAACCTTATCGGATGGCTTCTCCTCCATGATCAAGCGTTGGTGATGAGTAGGGCTCCGACCCTAGCATCTGATCTGATCGTGGTTAGCTTCATGATAGTGGTGATGTGTGGTTATGCTGAGAGATGAAGACGATACAGACCGCGAAAGCGATTGGGAATTCTCATCGAAGTGAGGACTTTGTTACTCAATCTCGGCTCTGCAGACTCTACCGTGAGGGCTAAAGGTTCGTAGGGGACACCGCTGACAGGTGTTGAGAATAGTCACCCATTGCCATCGTTTAATTGGCTTGAGAGGGGAGATAATGACGGGATAGTAGCCCCTCTTATTGTGCACCCTAATGAAGACTCGTGGGGGTATTACTGCTGGAAAGAAGTTGTGAAGGAGGCATTGGAGGGAGTACGCTACCCGAGGCATAGATACTCCAGGCCTGTAGGTAGAAAGGACCTACATGTCCTTAAATAGTTATAGACTTCATAGGAAAATAAACACATACACACACAAACCAGCTTTCCTTTTACCTCCTACTTTTTCTGTAGCAGGTCTCGCGGTTGGAATGAGTTGGGCCTGTAAGCAGTGATCCCCGCCGGCTCCACCAGTCTTGTACCTATAGTGGGCCTAGAGCTTTAGCTTAGGACTTTAATATAATAATAAAAAAATAAAAATACCAGCTTTCCTCTTTATTAAATGAGATATGCGTTTAAGCTACCCAGAATATTCTTGGGAGGACAGCTGAGATGGTGTACCATTGCACAATCCAACTCTAGATCTAGTTAAATACCTTGTGTCAAATTAACTCCGGCTCCGCTTAAAATTATCCTCTTCACAATAATCTCTTCTTCGACTTGAAATTTTCTAAAATCTAAGCAGAATATATCCAGAATTGCTAAGTCGCACAATGAAAAATGCCACGTTATACAATCGGCGTATCTGCCGATGTGGGAGCTTCAGACTCAAGGCCTCCCGCACAATCTTCCTACCATCCTAAACAAGACTTAGACGACCCTGGCGCCAGTCAAACACCTTACGGCCATGGCAGCGCTCTAGAATATGACGAGCTCGAAGCTGAGCCATTCGACGCGTCCAGCCCATCTGGTTCCTTACGAGAGGCATGGGGAAGAAGTGTTGCAGCTGCAGAAATTGGAGCTAAGGAAGCAGAATCTTTGTTCGGTATTATTGCCTCGTACTTAGACAACATTGGACCGCAAACAGTTGCATCTCACTCTCAGCCAATCAATTTTTAACCCTCAAGACCCTCTGATAAGATCCGACTACAGCTGCTTACCGTCACCTCGATATTGAAATAAACGGAAAACCGTTATCTAAAGTTGAATCCACTCCTGAGCCTTGCCAAAATTTGCGAGCACCGGAGACTCTATCATATGTCAATGTGGCTCGACAACACAAAGGCAACAGTACCGAAAATTCATGTAATAGTAATGATCCAGTAAATGAGAGTTCAAAAATTCAACCGTGACAAGATTATGCTGACAATTGTCTGTTCATCCGCATGCTTAATAGGAATAAGTTAATGAATATCTCAGCATATGCTATCCAGAAACACTTGAAAGCTAAGCTTGGAAATGAGGGCTGAGTTCTCGTTGAAGTAAAATCAACAAAGACGCGGAAACCTCTAAACTTAGGGAAGAAATCTCAAAGGTTAGTATATTTGATAAAATCTTGGTCGAAATTGCTTCACCGCGGACTTCATATAGAATTAGTAATGTTCCACAAACATTTGGATCCATCATTAACGAACTCAAATACTGTCTTCAAACAGTCACGGTTGCAGCTATCCACGAAGTAATTTCAACTGCCGCAGGAACAACCCCGGTAGCTATTCTGGCATCGCATGATAATGAGGAGAGCCCAAACTCCCCGTCAACAACATGAATTGCTCACTTCCCGGAATCGTACCAACACATTCTTGGTTTTTTCTTCCTGTTTAGATGCCTTAAGATCACAAAAATTATCCTTCAGCGATACACTACGGCTCAGTGTAATTAATACTGGCTTTGGCAAAATACCCACACCTGTGCTTCCTCTCTCCGGTGTCGCCTATGCGGTTCCGGCGCGCATACTGAAAACGAGCATGATAACCTTTCCGCAGCTAGAAGCAAGTATATCTGTCCACCTTCGTGTGTTCACTGCCACGGATCTCATGCTGCACAAGATGCCAAGTCTAAGCTTAAGCCTAAAGCTACAGGCCCACTTTTGACCAACGCTCAGGTGATAGCTGTCCGAAAGATCAACGCAGATGACCACTTTTGCAAACAAGTAGAAGCAGTCTGTGTGAAGCCCCTCCACAAGGCACCTTAGTAACGCGTAATAGTAAGCCGTCATCATCTCAGGATCTGACCCCTGCTGGACCAAGTACCGCACAAATTATACAAGTAATTAATTCTAAGAACCTCTTCGATGCCCTTCACGTCGAAGAGGATCAGAGTCACAATAAAATGAAATCATAATGGACAACTTTAATTCCCACAAAGCTCCGCCTTAGCCACTAACAGTCTTTTCCTTGAACGTCAGCAGAGGTTCTCTCTCGCATGAGATTGCCCTCAACGAAGCTTTCACTATATTAGCAGATATAACCCTGATCCAATTACTCTACATTCTTCATTATCGTGCTTGACGGGTTACAAAATATCACCCATCACATGAGACTTTCTCTCACATTGATGACTGGTTAACCACCAAGCCTAAAGTGATCTCCTACGTATGGAAAGTGGCTGGACTACTTGCGGACCAAAATATAATGACCTTTCCGGCGACATACTTACTGTCCGTCTGAGAAAACCTTGCAGATTATCAAAGTTTAAAATGCACCGCCAGGCTCCACTGATGGCAGCGCTTTAAAACCTCTTCTGACACTCTCTATTCCAACCAATAGTTGCTCCATGGTGATGAGGGACATTAACCTTCACCACGTAAGGTGGCAGCCTTCCTGGACAAGTAGCCTGTCAGGAATGCCTACTGTATAATCTATATATGTGGAGATAACCTGCAACTAGTGTTCTATGAACCTGGTCTGGACTTTTGGCCGAGTGACTATGCACCTATCTCATGCATGATGTAGGATAGCAACCTTCTGCCTGGCATTCTTGTCTTCATTTATGTCTTATTCATTGTCTCTGATCTACTGTCTACATGCCGCTTCTGACATAGCCCCTCCGCAGGTGCGGAATCTATGTTGGAATGGGTAGATAAAAATATCTCGTTCTACTTCCTCTAGAAGTGTCAATCCACAACGACAGAAATGTGCTTGTCCTAACCCTCAGGTCCGGAATCTAAGCTCACAATGCACAATGCACCACAAGCACGCATCTAGCTACAGCCTCAGACCACGCTTATTATGATAGATATATACCATATTCGACTTGACAAACTATTACACAATACATGTATATATATGTATATTTATGTAAACTCAGAACATTTCATGAAAACCTCATCCTTTTGTACTATAGGTTATGACCCTAAATAACTTCCGCTGCACTGCATCACTCTAATTTGACACCATTTTTTTCTGCTTCCGTCTTTGTCATAATCTTCTCACGTATACGCAATGACTTACGCACTCGAAATATTAGAATCACAAAAGCCATCATCCGAGGAAAAGCCTAAATTTTTGACACCAATCTATCTGAAAATGTACAAGTAGGTTCATATTTGCTACATCAGGCAATATAAAAACTTCCCCAAAGGAAGCAAAAAGAATAACAGAAGATTGGAAAATAATAGAACTGTAAGAGTCGTAAGATAGAAGCTTTTCACAAACTATCTAGATCTAGGTACTAAGAGAATCTTGAACTGGAGAGGAAACTAACTGGGGGGAAACCACTATATGAATAATCCCGCTTTATTCTAAGGTTCTGAGTGATAGAAATGAAGCGAATGATATGAGGAACAAGACGTGGCAAATGCTCTTTGCCCAAGTATAGATCTATAACCATTTGACCATTTAACCATGAGAATGTAGGACGTTTGGTTCTCCCATTATCCTTCAACCCCATCTCATATTAATCCCTCAATATTCAGACGCCTTAGACTTATGTCTGAGTTTTGATTGCCTCTGGCAGATGATAAAATGACTTGGTAACATTAAGAAAATATATGCAACCCCAAAACTAACCTTATCGAACTGGAACTCCTACTTTCAATCAATATAACGGCTAATTTCTGTCACATCCTCTTTTAAGGCAGTCGCAATAATATCTGCATGGTGGGCTGCTAAATTGAAAAATCAGCTTCAAATATCTAGATAAATGACATCGAATCTCCCCTCTTAGCTCTCTTGGCCATTGTCTGTCAAAGAAGGCACCTAATAACCAGCAATAAGTGCTTTGGATTTCACACGGCTAGGGCTTGTGCGCGCTAAATACAAATGTGAGCCTCGCAGGAAAGATTCTCACGAGGTCCCATGCCAACATTGTCGTGACCCTTATAAATTCACTTTAGATTCTCGCCCTGTCCGGCCACAGAAAGATCATGGCGTTTTAATTCGATCAATGGGGGACTAAATGCGTCACATTCGAGTAGCTGGGCTTAAAGAGCTCGCTCAATCTCTAAAACGCATCTAGGATTCCTTAAATCTAGCCCCTTAGGGCCTGGCTCAATTTTCCACCCATTCCAACCAATTATGGTGAGGCACAAATCAGTAAAACGAATTGTTCGCATTATGCAGGCGAATGTAAGAAGAGGTGCAAATGCGCATAGTATTGTGCTTAAACTTGCGGAGGACAATCAAACTGACATCCTCTTGGCTCATGAGATTTGGACTCTAAGAGATCTTTCTGTAAGGCGGCCGATATTGCACCAAAATTTCTTGTGCTTCTCGCCCCTCTCTGAATGGTACTCACATCCTAGGGCCCTGGCTTACGTTCGAAAATCGCAAGGGCTTCACCCACATCAGAACGATATAGATATCTCTACTAACTGTGTACAAATTGCCACTGAAGGGGGCATGGACGCAAAATTAATGTATGGAATGTTTAAGACACCCTGGAAAACTGTGAAGGTGCCGGAGACTGTCTGAATCTAGCCTTGAACACCACGGACTCGCTTAACTTCGTGGATTGCGATTTTAATCTGAGATATACAGCCTGGGACTCGTATCTTACTTATAATTCTCCTGAGGTAACAGCGCTGATAGATTAGGCTGAGGATAAGAACTTGTATCTCCTTAGCCAGACAGATTTTCCGACCCACAGTAGGGGAGGTACTCTTGACCTCGTTTTCTGTTCTATCGAGGGCGCGAAATGTGAACTCTCTTCTGAACTAAACACAACATCTGATCATAAAACTCTGCTCACAACCATCTCGGTCTACGGAGATCTAATAGAAGGCAGAAAAGAGCGGCTAAGCTTCAGCTATCTCAACAAAACCAGCTTTAGGGTTCTACTAGGAGATAGTTCGGACACCCCCTCACTGGAAATATCATCCGACGTAGAATCTGAGGCTGGAAATATCATTCAAACTATACACATGGCCTTACTTGCGCCTTGCCTCCACATCAAGGGCAAAAATCGGGGAACTGCCTGGTGGAACGAAGGGTAAGGAACGGCTGAACATAGATATCATGTTCGGAATAGGTCCTGGTCAACGATTTCTAGCCTAATTGTGCTATGTTGCAGGCTACAGTTCCAATTATTCATGGGGTCATCATCAGGGTTGTGAGCAGTTTCGGTTTTGGTGTGGGTTGTTAGATTGATACCCGAGCGTGTAGCATAGTAGTCAGACATGCGACTCGAGTAGCATATGCACGGTAAACCTCAACCCCAAAATGATGATACGAATCAAGTTTTATATGCTACTTCCTGTATGGCTAGCGTGGTTAGAATATGGGGAATCTACCTGTAGAAAGATAAAGACGTTGTAGTCCTCTGATAGTTGAGACAAGTCTTCTACAATATTATATCGGAATCAAATCTAGCCTCTCATTAAGCAATCTCATGAATTATTTCCAATGTCTGTGATAACAGACATACATATACAATGTCGACAACAACTTAAAAGTCGATAATATCATGAGGCTAGACACTTAGGTAGGTCCGATTCGGAGAAGCGAGAACTTTGGAATGCTGTTTTAGGGATCAAAAACCATTCTGGAAGGATCGTTTTAAGAAGTCGGAATCCCTAAAAGATGTGTAAAATATAGGAAATTGGCACAATTCTGCCTCATCTCTTCAAACCTCATCATTCAAGGGAGATAATAGAATTGTTAACATACATTCCCAAAACAAAAAGCTACTACCATTCATAGAGTGCTGCTCTCTCAACACATGGAAGCCTCGGATATTTCGCCAGAGGCAATGTCTGGTGCAAGGAGAGCTATACCTTGGCATCCATTCACCGAGGAGACCTTTTGAGCTACCTACCAGATTACTTCTATTACGACTGACCTCAGGTTGACACTAGAAAACTCCCTTGAAAGATAAAACAATAATCGCTTTGTATTTGGACCTTAAGCTACGCACAAAAACTAAAAGAAAAGACCAGGAGAGGAAGAGGTCTGCAGCCTCGCTGGGCTGAAAACTCCACCGGCTCGCTTCCAGGACCGACGCTTACTCAACCAGACTCCACATCACGTGATACAAGAAAACAATTACTTTTAAACTCAAGCTGTAACAACTTCATCCTCACTTGAAGAAGACGAAATGGTGCTCCAAATTCTCCGAATAGCAAGGCCAACCAAAGGACGACGCATCATGGGATTATTCAAAAAATTTGCTCTACTTGGGTTACACCCACGAGTCTTCAAAGAGGCTGAAATAGTCGTTTTTCTAAGGACAGGGAAGCGATATCGCACTCTGCCAAAATCATATCGGTCGATGACTCTTCGAAGTTGCCTCGGAAAAGGTCTCGAACGCCTTTTTGCGAGAGATTTTCCTACTGAGCACTCAAATGCGAGATTCTCGCTAGAGATCAATGCTGTGCAAGTAGCGGGCTCTATTCAATAGATCTAATTATTGCACTGCTTTATGATGTTAAAGAAGCAATTGCGGCAGGATAAGTTGCTAGTATGATTACCGTTGATGTTAAGGGGGCATTCGATGGAGTATTACGGAACCATCTTCTAAACCGATTGAGATCCCAAGGCTGAGCGGAAAATATCATCAACTAGGTCAATTCCTTTCTGCAGAGTCGTACAGTAAGAATGAGAATTGATCAGACAACCTCAGACCCATTTCAGCTCCTATGCGGGTTGCCTCAAGGATCCCCAGCTTCACCAATCCTTTTTTTATTTAACGTAGAACTAGTTCCACGGATATCAAGGATGCGATATGTTTATGCGGATGATATTGTAATGATAAAATCGGCTCGAAATCTTGAAGAGTGCGGTCAGAAGCTACAGGTAAGCCTTCACCTGACGCTGCAATTGGGACGTCGAAATGGCGTGCCGCTTGGGGATGCAAAGAGTGAGGTACAAAATTTTTACCATAAAAAGAAATACGTATAATCCCCTCATCTGATAGAATAAAATATAATATTACTCAACGAATACACGAGGTGGCTTGGAGTAATTTACGATAGGAAACTTACATTCAGAGAACGTATACGAAGAGCCTGTCATCGATTCCGGGTCGTAATAGACCTTGTAAAAAGAACCAACGACACGATTAAAGGAGTTCACCTAGCCCTACCTAGACATGCCATGCCATGCAAGGCAAGGCACAGGATCTTCGATGCTTCTATACAGTGTCGAAACGTGATTCGGGCCAAAAACTTCTGCATGGATAATTAACCAAGTTCAGGGAGCAATGAATCGTGCGGCTCGAGCAGTCTTGCCCGTCTATAAAACTACTCCCATCGAGACGCTTCTGCATAAGTTGAGCTGGGCCGAGGCCCGGCTACACGGTGGCTGGGACAAATTTACGACCGCCTAGTTGTGCAGGTTGCCGCTGCCAACTCTAAACACCCATTACAAATCAAGTGGAACCCTTCTCATTTTATATGGATGAAACGTCAGCAATATCTAGAGCTCTCACTCAACTCGCTCGAACCACCATGGAATAAGATGGACTGGACAGAATAATTTCAGAGATGAAATTATTTAGAAAATATGAACATACTAGATCTTACAGTCTATTCAGGTGGATCCCTGGATGAAGATGAAAATGTCGGAGCAGGCTATTGTATATACCACGGAGCAAATACTGAAATTGCATATTGAAAGATCCCTCTGAGACGCACTGCCGAAGTGTACGACGCAGAAGCAATTGGAGCTACCGAAGGTCTGAAAGCTGCTATTGCGCGTGTTATGGTAAAATATGCATCCAATGTTACTATCTATCTTGACAATGAAGAGGCCGCGCTACGTCTACACACTAAGCAAGGAACTTTGACAAGCTCTAGATTAATTGGCGAGTTTAAGGCATTGAGAAAATGTTGGTCCACAATGATGCGCGTGCCAGGGATAGCACCTGGAATAACTAGATTTCGATGGGTCCCGGGACATTCAGGCATACAAGGAAATGAAAGAGCCGACGCTCCAGTGAAGAACTCCTGCAGGGAACCTACCATCCGCAGTGAAGCTTCGGTCGCAAGGGCGACAAGACTCCTCAATGAACGATACAAAGCAAGCATACTGACGTACTGGCAATACAGTGCTCCTCAGCGCTACAAGCTTTTCGGAATATAGATGACAGGAAGAATTCCGAAAGAATTTCGACCCCTCTCTCATAAATATGGGCTTGCTAATAGCAGCGCAGTCAGCACATGCCGACTTCTCCGCCTATCAAAGAAAATTTAAGCATGAAGATACAGTCCTCTTTCGCGACAGTGGAGAAGAATATTCGCCCAAACATTTTTTCGCGTGCCGAAGATTGAGCGGTATACGTAAACCGCATCCTAGAAAATCTGGAGGTCTGGAGGGTAATGTGAAGTGGAATTTTAGGTCAACAGCATTGTTGGAATAAATGACAACTTTGAGGGATTTTATCATGTGTAAACCCAATTTCTAAAGCCAACTTGTAGACTGGTTCAGGTAGCATTTTCCTTCCGCGCTTGTTAGATAGAATATACAGACATTTTACAAAAACAATCTATTACCAGAACATTTGTGCTAGCAATCACGAGAAGAGGAATTGGCAGGAAGGCAGCTCTAATGTAGAGATGAAAGAAGTAGATTGGCTATGAGGAGAGAGTATCTAGAGGCGGACAGGGACTATATGATAACGTGCACATACCACATGTACTCACGCTATTGTACATAGGGCCAGCTTGAGGCGAGGCCGTAACTCTAGCACATTAAATCTCCAAGCCGCTGTTATACCGACACTGATCAGTGAGCCTATATCAACGGTTCATAGATTCGCGAAGTATTCATCGAAGGAACGTCTTCCTTAGTTGGAAACGTGTCAACCCCCCAGATTTACCTGGACTCCTAGAGCCGCTTAAATCAAGTGTCTGTCACGCAACCACCACCTTTTTTCCCGCAACCTGGAGTTACTATACCCGTTATTCAGGAGCAAACAACAATGTCAAACCCACGCCCAGTCATCCAAGATCTCTCAACAGCAACCCAGGAGGAGATAGATCGATTTCTAATAAGAATGATTGCAGAATGGCGACAATTTAGATTCCGAGATGAAAACCTCTGGGAAGTACTAAAGGAATAATTCGAGAATTTGGAAAAGATTCACTTCGACAAAGCCACTGCAAACCAAAGACGAAATTTTCGTAACCATCTCGTCTCAAATGGAGTATATATGACACCCACGCAACCAGGTAGTCATGGGGATGTCTCAGGCCAGTTAATGGAAGCACTCTCTGCTCAGGCGTACCATGAATGGAAGGATGAAGAATTTTACAGCTGGGCCCTTTACAGTAATGGAAGGATTAGAATTGAAATCAACAGTGCCTTCAGCCCCCGAGATCTTGCATATCATGGACTGAACATGCAGAAAGATGATGAGAAAGTCAAGGAGGAGGATATAAAATACAAAACAAATAAAGGAAAAGAAATATTATTGGAAGGATAAAGAACAGGAACAAGGAAAAGAGAAATCTAAAGAGGAGGAAGGAATTGATGAGATAGAAGGACAAAAGGGTTCATTTTTTCGACCAATCAGGGATGAACCATGGGAAGATCATCACCAACCTAAAAACAAACAATTTGAATCACTTGCAAGACTTTACAAAGAATCTAACAAATACGCGGATGGACTCAACAGCTTTGACTATAAGCTAAAGGTTTTTCGCAATAATTGTAAAGATGCATATGTTGAGGGTCGTTACATGAAAGAGGCACTCTCTCATATGTCTACAGGCGCTGCAAGAGGTATCTACCTTGACAAGACACTTGATCATGACGAGATGACATTTGAAGATCGCTGTAGAGCAATGAAGACTCATTATGAGACCGATCAATGGCGCAATAGACGGGAGATTAGTTAGTTAAATCTGAGTTTAACTACAAGAATCGCCGCGTACCCCGAAGATGGAGTCAAAAACAATCTTAAATGGTTAGAAATGGGGTTTCGCAGAATCCAAAGAGGCTTGGTAGATCACCAAGGCAATAGAGCATTGCGCAACCGCCTCCTAGTGGCATGCTCTGGGATTACAGAACTTGAGTTCGCCCTATATCGACCTGCAGAGACTTTCGAAGGTGTCTTAAACGACATGTACGGTGCTCTAGATCAGAAATCTCTGTCAAACCCATCGTCTCAATATCACCAACAAATGAACTACCCTGACCATACAAATTCAAATGGCATCCACATGGCTGACCGCCACTATAACACCGCACTAGACTTCGGCAGGCAAAGAGTCAAAAATAGAGGTAGTGGACAATTGACCCGAGGAACCAATGATTCAAACAGCAACAAAGCTGGCCCCAAACAGTCAAGCACATGGGTTAAGAAATGCCTAATTTGTCACAAAACAAACTGCTGGTCAACCAATCATTCAAAAGAAGAAAGGCAGAAAGCATTTGACCGAATTAAGCAACGGTACCCTATGAAGCCAGACACGGAGATTAGGCAATTCGTAATCGAAGTTGAAGGAGAACGGCCGGAAGACAGCCTTGACATATTTTTGACGGATTTTGAATCCCATTTAGAGACCGGGCCAGATCACGACTCTGATGACGAAATTCTTCAATCCGGAAACCTTGTCGAAGAAATTGGTGGTGAGAACGCTGTAGCCTATTTGATTGACCAAGCTATTTTACACTCATTTACGGCGCCTAGATTAAATATCTCAGATCAACCAAAAAATACAAATAATTCTAGCAAATTCCGAGATATCTGATTTATCTGTTTCCAATGCCACCGTTTTTGATTTACAAAAAATTCCTAGTAACGAAATCAAATCTTTTGAATCAACCTATGCTTTAGGAAACTTAAACACGGACAGATACAATGACTGTGTTTTTCACGGATTACTTGTCGACACTGGCGCTGCAGGAAGGTCTACAGTTGGACTTGGCCAATTTAGAGCACTCCAACGACTTCGTGGTGATCTAAAGCTCGACAGGACACAAGCTGGCAAAGTCAACATATCTGGAATCGGTGCAGGCATGTTCTCATCGATCGGCGCAGTTGTCCTTAATACACCTATTGGCCAGATTTCATTTCATCTTATACCTTGTAATATTCCTTTTCTTCTTGGGCTAAGCGACATGAAACGTTTTGGAGCAACGCCGGATGTTGTAAATAACAAGATGCTTAAGCATGGAAAGACTGTTGCGCATCTCTTTGAAAAGTACGGCCATCTTTGGATGACTTTGGGATACTTCGAAACTCTCTTTGTATACGAGAACGATGAACCTCCAATGTGTCTACTAACCGAGCAGGAGTTACGAACTATTCATCGTCGATGGGGACACCCCTCCGCTACAAGGATGTGGAAAGTACTACAAAGAGCAGGTCACGATGCCGAATTCCAAACAATCCATCGCCTAACCAAGTTTTGTCGAGATTGTCAATTAAACGCGAACAGGCCCCTCCGATTTAAATTCGCGCTAAGAAAAGACAACGAATTCAATCATACAATATATATTGACGTCATCTACTTGGAGGATGGTGCGTGTATGCATGTAATTGATGCTGCTACCGCTTTTACGGCAGCTGAATGGCTCACAGGAACCGATAAAGAAGGAGCTGAGGAAGCTTGGGACGCTATTCGGCGATGCTGGATAGATGTTTACATTGGACCGCCAGAGCATATTATTCATGATGCTGGAAAGAATTTTGCGTCTTCAGGATTCCGAAGAAACTCATTAGAATCAAAAATTGAGATTACAGAAGTCCCAATTGAAGCACACAACTCTGTTGGCAAGATTGAAAGAGCACACAAGCCACTTCGTCGCGCTTATACCATTTTCAAAACGCAGTTCTCAGGGCAGGGTCTTAGTCGCCATACAATTTTAAAAATGGCAGTCAAGGCTTATAACGATACAGCTGGGCCAGATGGGCTCATATCTACTCTTTGTGCACTTGGAGCCTACCCCCGACTAACCTGGAGTTACCCACCATCACCAGCCGCAATTCAAAAAGCAGAGAGCCTAAGACTAGCCATGAAAGAACTCCGCAAATATAAGGCAAGTCAGTTGGTAGGTCAAGCTGCTCACATGAGAAATGGCCCGAATAATGCGCATCTCGAAGAAGTTCCTATAGGTGGTCTTGTGAGAGTTTGCCGTGAAGCCAAGAATAAGAGAGGAGAATGGACAAGTCCTTGGATTTTGATCGACAAGAATCAGGAGACAGTTACTGTTTGCATAAATGAAAAAAACGTCAATTTCCGTCCCACAGTGGTTTCTAAATGGTACGATGAAAGCAGTTGTATCCAGAATTATCAGAATCCTAATACACCGAGCATCGATAATTCTGAGCATCGACAGGTCGCACGGGGGACACAATCCACGGTACTTCCACTTCGCAGAAGTAGCCAGAAAGGAAGATTCGAAGGCAGACATCAGTTTAACTCGAATGTAAATGACAATCTCAAGAAGTCCCACATATTCCTTTCACTTCAGGAAGAAGAAGAGATCCGTTTATCAGCCTATTTTCGTGCTAAAGGATTAATTACCTCCCTTGATGAACCATTTGAAGAATCAACGAAGAAAGAAATAAAAGGTCTTCTTGATCAAGGCGTCTTTGAATTTCAACCTTGGAATAAGAGTTTGGTTGGAAGTCGGATATTTAACTCAAGAATTGTTAAGGTTGTTAAAGGAAAAGACACTCTGGCACTATACGAAAATTCAAGACTGGTTGTGCAAGCCTTTAACGACCCAGACAAGGAGATGGTATTGACGCATTCACCAACAGTACAGCGAGCAAGCGGCAGGTTACTACTTTCAATTACTCCTTTTATGATTAAGCACAACGGATTTAAGTTGATACTGCGAGAAATTCAACAGGCATACATACAATCTAAGACACCACTGTTAAGGGAGCTCTTCTGCTGGCCATCTCCAGAAATCATCAAGACGATGAATCTGCAAGAGAAAACTGTGATGAAGTTCCTAAAACCTCTGTATGGAATTCCAGAAAGTGGTAATCACTGGTTTGGGACCTGGACTAAGCATCTAAGAGAGATGCTTAGTATGAAGCCTTCTTCTTATGACCCATGTTTACTCATAACTACCAACAGACCCTCGATCTTCGGTGCCACAGCTCTAGAGGTTGACGACACACTCTACTTAGGAACTGATAAATTTGTCGCTCTTGAAGATGCTAAGCTCAAAGAATCCAACATAAAAGCTAAGCCAATTAACACTCTTAGCGAAGATAATCCGCTTTATTTAAATGGTCTTACAATCTTGATCAAAGACGGAGCCCTATACGTACAGCCTCGTGGATAAGGGAAAAAGATCACGCTTACTGATCCCAAAAATCTGTTGGAAATATCGCGCAATGTAATGGGCGCAATATTCATGGAACGAAAGTAGAAGTTAACTAAAAGAGTGTCATGTTCGGATTTAAGCTAGAAGTGAGGAAAGTGTGCGCTACAAGTACAATTGTAAGCGACATGTAGCCTAAGCCACAGCATAAACGAGTGTGGCGCCATCTAGGCATAGAAAACCCACAATAACCTCCTTGCGCCCACGCCATACAGCCGCTCATATCTCCAATAGGTAGCCTGAAGCGCTACCATATTACATATTCCAATCTCTTAAATACACATAAGATCGTGTCGGGAACCTAGACGAAATGGAGGGCCCGTACGTCCACAACACTCCGTGTCTCCATTTCCAACAAGATCCCAATTGTTTCGCAAAATATAGAAAAATGCGATCACTTGGTGCGTGGATCGCCTCAAATTGCCAGCCACTTGTTTCTTTCTTACTGTCAAGAGCCGCACAGCATCAGAATCCTGGAATTGAAGAGATAAAGGAACTGTATTTTGCCCTCCAAATCCAACAAGAAAGCCCAGAATCAAGGTTAAGATATGTTGACCTAAAAATGACAAACGGCCTCGGGCTCTACGCTTGGATAGATAGTTCCCTTGCCAATAACAAAAATTTGACGTCACAGATCGGATTGGTGATAGCAATTGTCAACGAAATTCGCGATAAATTTGTATTTAAATTCCGTGGCAACATTATTCACTGGAGCTCAACAAAATGTAAGCGGGTAACTCGTGCGCTGCTGGCCTCATAGCTTTATTCTATGACTCAGGGAGTCGACATAACAATACCGCTCTGCAATGCTCTTTACCAAATCACTACTGAGCTCGGTCTACCAATTGTGCCCATCATTATTTGCACTGATAGTTTCAGCTTATATGAATGCTTAGTTAAACTCGGCACCACCAAGGAGAAACGGCTCATGATCGACATCATGGCCATCCGCGAGCCATATGAGCCTAGGGAACTAGCAGAAATCCGCTGGATCAACGGAAAAGACAATCCTGCAGATGCCATGACAAAGGCTAATCCAGTCGGTGCATTATGAAGACTTGTCGAAACAAATGAGCTGGAATGTAGGTTACAAGAGTTGGTAGAGAAAAGCATGGATATTCCGGCGTACAAGTACGGAGTATAGGAGTCTACCGTTTATTTTTCAGGTTGACCCCCGAAATTAGTACTACACAAAAGAAGAATTGTCAGTGTTGGGATAAATGACAACTATGAGGGATTTTATCATGTCTAACCCTAATTTCTAAGGCCAACTTGTAGACTGGTTCAGGTAGCATTTTCCTTACGCGTTTATTAGATAGAATATATATTTTGAATTTGATTTCATTATCCTGATTTAGCGCCCTATGGGCCCATGCAGGTGTCTACAGTCTATAATATTTACCCGGGAGGAAACTTTTATGGTGAAAACCTCCCACACCTTTCGATTTGTTGTCTATAGTCCTCACATACTTTCTTCAGGAAGCGCAGTTACACTATAGTGCCATCCATGTAAACTAACCAGATCATCTCTATCCTCCCCCAGCATTATTTGACCTTTTCCTTTCCCTCAGCAGTATTTCGACCGCTTTTGTCATCTGGAATTGCTCTATCCAACCATGGTTTAGGATCCACTGTGTTATCTTTTTTATATCTCCAGGATTATTTAACATCGCTTCATAGGATCGATCTTTGGCTTGTCTCCAGATCTCAGCTCTACCATTTGACCATTGGGGGCAGAACATAATCATGTGCTTTGGGTTCTATGATTGGTAGCCGCATGGACAACCTGGACTTAATACTCCGGGTACGTTTCTTCTGTGTAAATACGAGTTAAGCCCCATGTGCTCACTTCGTATTTGCATTGCCAAACTGCTTTGGGCCCTTGTGAGGTTACGGTGTAGGAAGAATGGTGAGCCTTGAAAACTCAGTTTTTGCCGTCCAGACTCTCTACTTTGGTAAAATGTGGCTGCTCTCCAAGTTTCGGAATCTGCAGTTGCTAACCGCCGAGGCTTTTGAGTTTGTGTCTGCTTGGCCCAGGATTTCGCCCACTCTTGGTATGCCATAATTTTCACTATCTCTGTATGTGTCTTCTTGGATTTTTGTTCACCAGATAGAATATATAGACATTTTACAAAAACAATCTGTTACCAGAACATTTGTGCTAGCTCATTAAATCTCCAAGCCGCTGTTATACCGACAAGCATGATCAAGGGCTTTCAGAAAATGGTGTAACAGTACACAATCACACGGTTTTGGCAGTAAAAACTAGTTTCTGGTTTGGTCTTGTAGGTTTGCGAAATATTTGGAGTGCGGCGTTCATGGTAATTCTTTTTTGGAAGTAAAAAAATTAAGGACTTAGCTTGTGATAAAGCACATTTTGAAGAATTGGCTATGGCCCCAGGAGATC